CTACTTTGCTTGCATTGCACGTTGCTTCTTTTATTTATGTACTTAAAAAAAATTCTCTCGTCTAAATTCCCCCCACTCAAACTATTCGTTTTATTTAGTGTAAAAATCCCCCCCCCAAGCTTTAAGTGGGCGCATCGTGCGCCCACCTTCCTCCCTGATGGGGACCCCTGAATATATTCATAATAGAAATGGCACGTCTTTTCTGCTGGAAGGGCTAACTCGACCTGTGTCTGTCAGCACTTCCTTATGGCATCTGCGCTGAGTGGTTACATAAATTATCTCCTTTCTTGAATTGTCTGATAAAATAATATGTTATAATAAATATTTACAGTGTTCGAAGTACAAACATTCGTTCTTTCAGAACACTATTCATTTTTATTTCTATAAACCAGTAATTTCCAACTGGCGGCCCGCGGGCCGTATCTGGCTTATCGAAGCTTTTTTTTTGTGGTCCGCGAACTAAAATATATTAGTTGTCATTTTTTTGCGGACAATTTTCGTAAACAATCTGTATATGTTTAAAATACTTTTCTCATAATAAAAATCTAATTTCCTCGTTTCTGTGAAATTTAACATACCAATGGTGCAAAAAAATTTATTTCTCAGGTTTCATCCAAGAAAATATTTATTCAAATACAAAAATAATCGTGCATGTTGCTCTTTTTCATTATTTTTTTTTTTTTTGTATTCTGTGAATATAATTTAGCATGTGTGTATCAGACATTTTCACGAAGAAATTCTCTGATTTAACTTTTTGAAACCACTCATTTTGGAAGGAAATTTTTACACATACATTTGTGAATTTTAAATGTAAATATCTATTCTCTGATAGTTGCAGTAGACAAACCTCAATTTTCTCATTGAACATTTTGTGTGCTATGTAAGTTTTAATACCAACCTTTTCAAAGTTTTATATCTTAACAATTAGATATCTGTTGCGCATTAATTGTTTAATACATAGGTGCTCATTATTGTAGCCTGATTTTTAATACGCAATTAAAAATTTTTAAAAATCTACTTCTTATTTTAATTTGTAATTCAATACTTTTTTTTTTGAACAACTTGGTAAAAATCTGACAGTAATATGTAATGTTTCTTCAAACATAAAAGAGTCCTACATAAAATTTTGATAAAGTTGCGGCCCGCCATTTGATTTGTGTTTTTAATTGTAGCCCCCGGCCTCATGTTAGTTGGAAACCTCTGCTATAAACGCAATGTAGCTTACGCTTGTTATTTTAAAACGATAACAATAACACTCTAATGTACTTATATGTAACGTCACGGAAAGAAGTATCCGGAAAATAACAACTAAAGGATCGTATATTTTTTAATGTAGATACTTCTCACACAACAAATATAGCGTTTTGTCGTTTCTAGGAAAGGACACTGTAAGATTTCAATTTTCGTTAACTCTCCATTTTAGTAAACATTTCTTAAGGAAATACAAAGAGAAATAATTTGTAACATTTAGAGATCCTGTGAGAGTTAGGCGCGCCTTTATTGGCGAGTGGTGGCCATTTGGCGATGAGATGTTGAGTTGGATTGTATTTGTGTGTGTTGTGGAAATGAGAAGATTTTGTAAATAATAGATTTCTGATCCTGGAATACCTATTTGCTACGCACTACAGACAAGTATACTTATTAGAGGCTCCACCGAGATCGGGAGAAAGAAGGTATGTGTTCTCATTTGTTTCACATCCCAGGCCATAATATTTTCAAATAAATTTTTCAACCTAGAAATTTTTTTTTAACATGCCAGTAATTGCACAAAAGAGAATGTATTGTGAATACATGTGCATATATGCACATGTATTCATTATGAAATGCATATATGCACATGTATTATGCATATGAATGTTTATATTACATGAATATTGATTAAGTTTAAGTTATTCCTAATTATAAAGAATATATAATATCTTGATATTCTTAGCTGGAGAATTTTTGTTTTTATATGGTATTTGTTCTAATATTGTATTTTAATGAAGATAGTGATTTTCATTGATATAAAGGGTTGTGGATTTGAATTGTTTATATGTGGGAAGAAAGTGATGAAGAACGTCAGTTCTAAACATATTCGTTTGACATTGCCTTAGATGAAATGTTTTAAACGGAAGTTTTTTTTAACGAAATTTGGTTTTCATCTAGTGTAGATTTATTTTATCGATTTTATTAATTCATATTAGGCTCACATCAGTGCAGCAGATATATAAATAGTTATGTAAATGTATATGTTGTTTCAGTTTGAGTGGTTTTAAGTATTGGTAAGTGAAACTCATTTTGGAATTAAGAAAACGAAATATAAACTCTTTGAGGCGTCAGTCTTTTTGGCGTCAGCAGAAATATATGAGAATTCATTTTTGCTTTTCTTTTTTTCTGTTGCATTTGCGAGGGGGAAAGAAGATTGTTTATGTTATGAGTAGTCGATTGGCGACGTGAATTATTTAAGTAGTAGAATTTAATTTAATTCATTTTTATGGTTTTTAAATGAGAAGAGTATAAATTTCTTTTTATAGAATTGAAAACTAAGTTGTGATATTTTGTTTCTTTCTCTCTTATGTTCAAGTAGAGAGATAAATGATCTATTTCCTCTTATTTCTGTAAACCAATTATAGTGGTAGCTATTAGAATTTTTAAGGCTTACTTTTTGAATTATTTACTTGATTTATTGTTATAATAAGATCTATATATAAATTTGAAAAATGTCTTTTTGAAGTAAAGCTAAAAAGTGTGAGTGTGATCTGTTTGTGATCGTGGTAGAATTGGGAGTAGAGGTTTCGGAGGACCTTAAAATAATTGTTTTAAAACAAGGAAAGTTTGTAGTACAAACTATGAGGAAGAATTTGTTACAAATTTATGCGAAAGTGCAATAAATGCTAGGATCGAAAAAGAAAGGTTAGAAAAGGAAGAGAAAGATCGGGAATTTGAGCTACTGAAACAGGAGAAGGACAGGGAATTCGAACTAATAAAACAGGAGAAAGACAAGGAATTTGAAAAAAAAAGAAAAAAAAAGCGGCTGGAACTCGAGTGCCTTAAAGCAAAGCAGGACCCAATGTTTTTACATCAGTTGTGGGTTCTACTTTCAGTCAAAATTTTCAAAAGCTTATGCCAAAATTTAACATAAAAACAGATGATATATTAACATAACAAATTTAACATAAAAACAGATGCTCGAGAGTCCGAGAAATTAACTCGTGAGTATCCAAATGTAAAATCTTTATTACTAACCAGATTTAAAATAAGTGCCGAAAAATTTAGAGAGTTGTTAGTAAAATCACAAAAAAATCCCGATTCTTCGTGGTATGATTTTTATCATGAATTAAGCGCTTATCTGGATGGGTGGCTTGTAGGCCTTAAAATTGAAATTTTTTAACAGCTCAAAGACTTAATGTTAGTAGATCTAAAAGCAGGATTTCGATTGAATTTAAAGAGCACTTTCTTGAAGAGTGTGCCTCTATAAAGTCAGTTTGGTGTGAGGATTGTAAGGAGTTCTGTTTACCATCCACAGAGCAATCCAATCGAGAGCTTCCATCGTTCTATAAAACGGATTTTGAAAGTTTTATGTATTGAAGCTGCTCCTCATTGGAAAATTTAGACACCTCTAGCTCTTTTTGCATTAAGAACTGTAACGCATTAACAGTAATATCTTAATTAATTTAATAAAAATTATTTTTTATTTAGACCATGTCAACGCCAGGTAAAAAACTAAGCGGTTCCCAGAATCGGAAAAGAAAACTACTGCAAGAAAAAGAAGCTCTGAAATCTAGAGTAATAATGGAGTCATACTTAGGAAAAAAGTCGCAAAAAGAAAATCCAGAAGACAAAAAGGATGCAGATGTAAAATCAGATTCAGAGTCAGAACCAGATTCAAGTTGTACACCTACTGCTGCTAAACTTTTATGTACTAATAACACAACTCAACAAATAGAAGACTCTGAAGAAAGTGGCCCAAGTACATCAGAAATGATAGATCCATGTTCACATTTAATAAAAAGCACAGAAAATACACTTGCTGTAATTCCAGACGTTCTTGAGTTCAACGATGTTGCCTATTTAAAATTTAGCAACAATCTTCCAATAATATCGAACCAACTTCGAAAAGAAATGATTATTCGTGGATCTTGCACATTTCAAAACGAAGCCAGTTTAAATGCAGCAACAGCATCAACCAATCGTCTAATGCCAAAATCTTGGTTTTCTCGACGTGTAGGTAATGAAGAGGAAGGAATTGAAGTTAACCGATCTTGGTTATTATATTCACCAAAAAATAATGCAGCGTACTGCTTTTGTTGCTTACTGTTTATTACATCAGATTCCGCTACGCAATCATCTTTCGTAACATCTGCTGGTTTTAATAAATGGAAGAAAAAAGATAAATTGATTAGTCATGAAAGAAGTCCAAATCACCGAAAATCACTTACGGCTTGGAAAGAAACAGAACGAAGATTGATAAGTAGAGCCGGAATTGATGCATCATTAGAAGCGAACATTCAGTCCGAAAAAGAGCGGTGGCGAAATATATTGCAAAGAATATTAGCTTGCATGAGGTATTTAATTATACAAAATCTTCCTCTACGTGGCCATGTTGAAAAACTAGCACTTCAAGATGGTACAAATGTAGGAAACCTATTATCTTTATTTAGATTTGCAGCTCAGTTTGATCCGCTACTAGCAAATCATCTTAAACATGCCACAGGAACTCCAAAAACTGTCTCATATTTGTCACCACAGATTCAAAATGAATTCATTCATCTTCTGGCATCTACAATTCGAAATCAACTAATAAACGATATCAAAAGAAATAAATATTATGGACTTTTGTTTGATTTAACTCCTGATATCTCTCATCGAGAACAAATGTCCCAAGTCGCTAGGTATGTAGATGCTGATTTTATCAATAAAAAAGTTTCCATCAAAGAATCTTTTTTGAGTTTTATTGAAATACATGCTAAAGATGCAGCCTCGATCGAAAATACAATTTTAGAGAAATTAAATTACGATGAAATTTCATTAACAAACTGCAGATCACAATGTTACGATAATGCTGCCGTGATGGCAGGTCACACATCTGAAACGCGATGGAGCGCCAGAATACAAGCGGTTATCGTTATCATCTATGGGCTAGAGAATATAAAAGAACTAATAGAAAAATTAGCAGAGCACACTACCACTACAAGTGACAACAGAAGTGAAGCTACAATTCTGTTGCAAAATATACTAACCTTTAGTTTTATAACTTTAGTTCATTTCTGGTATGAAATCTTAAGAAGGATTGATCGTGTGCAGCTCAGATTACAAGATCCTAGAATGAATTTTAGAGAAGTGTTCCATGATCTTGAATCATTAGCGACTGAACTAGCCGAAATTTGAGACAAGCTCTGTAAAGAGGCAATAGAAAAAGCAGAGTCTCTTTGTGAAAAATGGGATATGGATACAACAATACGTGCCTGGAGAATTGGCTATGGTGGTCTTTCCGCAGAAAGTGAAATTTCTCGCGTTATGAAAAGCACTCTTGATCGTCTCCAACAAGAAATGTGTACACGATTAAGTGACCTTAATTTCAAATTTGGATTTCTACTAGACGTTGAAAATTTATTAAACAAGGATAATGTTGATAACGACCTTGGGAATTTTTTTTTAAAAATTTGGGTGAATTTTATGATACAGATTTCAATGGAATAGAACTCGTTATCGAAATATGTGACTGCAAAATGTTACTCCGCAGTAGAAAAGAAATTGAACCTAAAACTCCATTAGAATTTCTTACTTTTGTAATCTCGTATGGAGAAGATGTTTTTCCAAACCTGAGAGTGGCACTTCAAATACTCCTGACTATCTCAGTATCAATTGCTAGCTGCGAACGTTCATTCAGCAAATTAAAATTAATTTTGACATATCTACGATCAACGATGGGACAAGATCACCTAAGTGACCTAGCATTTTTAAGTGTGGAAAGAGAAAAATTTGAAATTATCAGCTTCGATGATATTATTGATAAATTTGCTTCATCAAAAGCAAGGAAAATTTATACATAGTAATTAGTTTTATTAATATTTTGTAATCACATTATTAAATATATGTATCTCCTTAGAGATAATAAATATTTTCTTTTTTATTGATTTAAAACTGCGAGGTTTTTAAATATTTTTTTATAAATATGTAAAATAAATAATAGGTATCTTTTGAACTAATTCTAGATGATCTTTCAAAATCTAGTCTTGTTTTCTCAACTATATTTTTTGTCTCAAATTTAAAGCCTAGATTGAGCCTATGACTTTATTTTGCTTTATTTATTTATTTATTAATTTGCGAGTATATTTTACATATAATATATGGTTTTCGAATATGGGGGAGGGGGCGCTGAAAAGGTATTGTGCCCCGGGCGCGAGTTAAGCTCACTACGCCACTGATTAAATATTACCGAAAAAAAAGAGAAAAAAATTTTTTAATGTCAATTCTATTATAGATAAAATCATTTTTGCCAAATTCATTATCGAACAACACACAGATTTGAATCCGTAAGTGATTCGAATCAAATACTGATTCTATTGATTCAAATCACTTAGATGGTTCTTTTGTATATTGATTCAAATCACTTAGATGGTTCTTTTGTAAGACTCCACTGTACACTGATCGTCGTAAGCCCGAAAATGCGTCAGTTTTTCAAATGCGGTTATAAAATAAAATAATATACTCGTGGAACATTTTATTTTAAAATTAACTCACTTCAATATTTTTTTTAATGTCCAGAAATACAACATGCTGATTAAAATAAATAAACAAAAGCGTACCACAAAATATAAATATTTATTTAGTTTCTGGTAACATTCTTAAGAATCGTCGTCCTCATCTGAGCTGGAGAGTTCAGTGTTTATTTGAGCTTTGATGCTCGATTCAATGACATTAAGGCGCATATCATATTCCTGATCCAGTCCCAGGTAGCTGTCACTTATTATATACAACTTATAAGACACCACTCCAACAGAATCAGGAGTGTAGAACATCAACTAGAAAAAAAAGAAATGCTTAGAGACAGACAGATTAGGTCTACGCTTGAGAAAATTATATGAAAAAATTTTGAAGTTATTATTGTTTTTAGAATTGTTATCGGATTTATGTCACAAAAATGTTTCAAATTATCAGTTAATTAGAGACAAAACTTATTCTTTTGGGTCATCAAAGCTTTTAAATAGGGAGAATACGCGTAAATGTGACTTTTTAAAACGAGTGAATTTGAACCACGATCTTTGAACTTAAAATCGTATGAAATTGAATCGTGAATTTTGATTTTTAGGATAGCGAGTAAATGGATAGCGATATTTGATTTTTAAATACTTTGTATCAAAGTAGAATTTCTGGTCTTTAAATACCATAATAACAAACTGCGTTTTTTTAATACTTTTTATATACCCGGAAAACTAATCGCGATGTTTGTTTCATAAATCGTTTGAAAACAAGAATTACGATATAGCATTTTAAAATTGTGAAAATACGAATTGCGATGCGTGTTGTTTAAACCACGGGCATATTAGTCACGATAGGCGTTTTTTTAAAGATAAAATTCGGACGTTGTGATCCTCGAACATTACGTAGATTATACACTCTAAAGTGTGTTGTGCTGTTCGAATCGTATATCGAGAAAAATACAAGCGAATCTGAAGAATTAAAATTTGCTATAAACTATAAAAATTACACGACGAAAGGTAAATATAAATAATAAAAAAAACTCCCTCTATGGATAAAATAACGTATAGTTAAGAAATGAGGATTATAAAGCTACAATAATGAATTTAAAGATCGACAAGACATAGTATAGTCATTGTACAAAAATGACGATAATTAACGAGATATTCTGAAAACGTAATGAAAAATCTGCCAATATCTCCTAAAATAGAGAAAGCCTCAGATCGGGTTAAAATAAACAAGAAATTCGATCTTTTAGTAGTCCAAACCTTGTATCCAATTTCCTTTGAGAAATACAATCAACACCCATGAAATTGAATCCTGAATTGTTATCGAATTTAATTGTTATCTTTGTTTTTCTTTTCTGTTCTTTATTCTTCTTTTTGGTTGGTTGTTCTTCTTTTTTGTAGGGCAAGAAGAAATGAAGAACGAAATTCTAATCAACACCAATCATCGTAATTTGATGGAAGATGTATTACCATTACGTTGTTTATTCAGCAAATTATATTTATGATTCTTGAACCAACAACAATCATCAAAATTTGATGGGAGATATTGTTTTACCATTATGATGACTAACCAGTAAGTTACTTTTTTGTGTTTTCACTACAGCGCGAGAATCTCGCATATTTTTTTCTTTTCTCATATTAAAAAATGATTACCGCGAGAAATTCGCGCATTCTATAAATAAATGTCAAAATTCGCGAATATCTCACACTTTGGAAAAAGCTTCGAATTACGCCATTTAGAATAAAATCCGTTTCACTTTTCTTCCTGGATCTTTCATTATTTTCAACATCTGCCCCGTTTTCTAGCTTCTCTATTTACCAGTATTGTTCAGAATCTTTTCGAACAGAACACAACCACGGAACCCCTTTCAGAACGCATTTCTCTGTAACCACGTGTTTATCGTAGGCAAGGTTTCTTCATGTAAGACATTCACATTCTTTATGTGCTGATGTAAGATGGACAAATACCTTGTAAAGGCAAAATCTTCTATGATGATGCACCAAAAATATTCAATGCTTTTAAAAATAGAAGACGTTAAAAATGTATTATAATTAAAGAAATGATTTTTTTTCAAGAGTTTTTGTGTTTTTTTAGTTTTTAGAAATCTCACTTAACTTTTTGAAATCTCACCCTGTTTTTGAGAAAGGGTGAGAAATTCTCACCCATTTTTTTTCTATGATGAAAACATTGATTTATTATTGTTGAACCAACAACAACCATCAAACTATAAAGGAAGATGTTGCACCACTATTACGATTGTTAGGCATCATGTGTTATGTTTCCTACACTTGGACCAACAATTATCAAAATATGATGGAAGATGTTGCTATAACAGGGTTTCCACTCCAATCAGAAAAAAAAAAAATCTCTGTGTTTTCCCTGTACATATTACACACAATCACTGTTCTCTTGTATGACCTACATTGAGCTAACTATACCAGTTTTAATTGCAGGAAAAACTGGGGAGAAAAAAGGAACAGCTGAACATACTTAAATAATGCTATAGTAAATGATTAGAGCTGAACTATCATGGTAAAATATCCCACAGATTACGCTTTAAGTGGTCATCCTTTTTCAAAAGACAAAAATAAGAAGCCAAGGCACGTAGGCATATTTTTCAACAAAAAAATGAGCACTTTTTAAGCACTTGAAAAAAAAAATTTACAGTGTTTAGTGGGTCCCCATAATCAGCAAAAATTCGAGTGATTTTTTGGTTTGATTCCAGAGGGCGGAAAATGAAGTCTGAAATGGAGAATCTCTTGCAAAATGCAGCAGAGCTGCACTTGAGAGGGCACAAATCCTTCCCGCTGAATCTAGCTCAGCATGAGCAAATGCAGACCCGCAAGTATTTCATCGAACATGTAAAACGAATGAAGTTTTCATACACTACAAACAGACGGTAGGCCGAAAAATGTGAGAAAACGTCGAAATGGACAATGACTTTTTGCATAATTCGTGGCAAAAATCGACATGGTAAAGAAAAAATATCTCATTTTGGAAAAGGGAAAATCAAGCACTTTTCAAAAAACACACAATGAAAAAAGCACCTTTAAGGGCTTTTAAAAAAAGTTACGCACACTGGAAACAGAATTCACTGCATTTTCCCACACTAAAAAGAAAGAATCGAAATTCCCTGCATTTTCTTGTTACTACTTTGTGTCCCCTTTCTTTGTGTTTCCTTCCCTGTGGAGAAGCAATCCTGTATAAGGATGGCCAGTCTGTAAAGAAGCAGGCTGATTTACCTGATGTGAGGATGGTTGTCCAATGTATCCTACTCTCTTCATAGCAATAAGCTCTTTTGTTTCAATATTTCCAAGAACAAGAAACCATCCTTCTTCTTTTTGCTTTGGAAATTTAGGTGCTTTGGCTTTCCTGTCATTTCGACGCCTGCTCACACGTTTCAGAGAGATATTCAGCACATATTCTTGATCAGCATGCACCTCTATCCCATCTGGCAAAGCTCCTCCTGAAATTATGCTCATTTTTAAAGTCATAACTTGACACAAGTTTAAAGTGAAATCAATAAAACAATTATTGGAGTAATGGAAAAAAAAGAAGACAAACAAACCCCTAAGACTGTTTTATTATGTCATAATAAGAAATTCATTTAGCTTATTGCTTAAAATTAATTATATTTTTTCTAAGCGAAAGACGGCAGGGGAAATTTTTTCCCCTGCTACTTCAAGCTACTCTGAAATTTTCTCAGTTCCTATTTTGTTATATTTTATAACCATCATTAAGCAGTCGACACAATTTTTTCCCTCGTTACAACTAAATCACCTCAGACTTTCCTCTACACTTGTCACTAAAATAAGGTTTTAAAGAGGCACCAGACTCAGACAGTATCAAAAATAAATAATTTTTCTAAAATATTTATAACCGTCGTTGAACAGCCGAACCAATTTTTTGGGTTTACGATTACTAATGTTCAACTACGTAGCCTTGTAATTTTGACCCGAATTCAGAAGACAAGGAAACTCCTAAATTAAGTATTGGGAGATATTTTGGTGGAGGACTTCGTGATGGAACTAACCTGCATTTGCGTTACATGGAGAGGAAGATAACGAGGATCCCTCACGGTTATCCTGATGACAAGGGGACTCTAACGTCAGCACTGTGGTTAGTGCAAACCGGATACCGAATTTGAATCCGGTTCACCTCATTGGAAAGCAAAAACTCTATCCCCTGAGCCATCACGACTCTTTCTTAGTTATTTGAAAAAATTTTATTTAAATAAAAACTGGCCTTCTTTTAATTTTAAGTGGCAAAAAAAAAAACAAGTTATTTTAAGCCTTGTTTAAATTCTGCAACCCTACAATTATTGTTATAGGCAGGTTCCACTATACAATAAAAGACAATGTAAAAAATTAAAGAGATAAAAAAAACCCAGACAGTAAATGAAAAACACAAAAGCAAGGTGAAACTTAAGATGCTTAAGTTCATTAAACAAAATGGCTCATGGTCAATCAAATTTGGAATTCTATGGCTCAAGTAATATCGTTAATTTCATCAAACGATAACAAACAAAAAGGGTGTTAGAATGGAATTATTAGAATGAATAGAAAAAAAAGTTTTCACTGCCGGATCTGTTGGGACACAGAGAGAGACTCCAAATCTAAGATGATTGAAAAACCCACTCTTAAGGACCAAGAACTGGAAAATACTAGTGGGATGAAGTCTAAGCAGTTGAGTCATTGAGGAAGGAAGAAACTGTTCGATCATGGAAGAAAACAAAATTGAATTGTATTAAGTACAGACAAAGTTACATACTATAGTTTTGATTCAATGAACAAAAATTGAAACCGTACAAAACATACCCTATCAATCCAATCAAGAACAGATTTTTTTGATCTCCTGATTTGATTTAATCTTTTGATTGACATTTCATGTCAACTATAAAAATGTCATTTATAATGTGTAATAACTGATTTGGCAGTATAGACCAGAGTTTGTTAATTAAAACTTACTAACACTGCAATACGTTTACAATAAATTTTAAAGCTATGAAAATGAAATTTAAAAAACAAATCAAATGATTTAAATCACCAAAAATCTTGATTTTTATAAACAGGCCCCACAGTACAAATATAAGAACTAAATACAGGGTTGCCATTCAAATCTGGAAAAAAAAAATTCCCAGAGTTTTCTTAGAATGTTTTATACACAATATATTCAGACAAAACAACTACGGCGCTCTAGTGTGAGCTATATTGGTCAAACAATGCTAGTTTTAATTGCTGGAAAAATTTAAAGAAATACAGAACAGCATAATCTACTAAAAACAAACAGTTTACTATAGTAGAAATATCATCCTTAAATATTCCATAGAAGGAATATTGAGTGGTCACCACTTACTAAAAGACGAAAATAAGACAAAAATTCCCCGTATTTTCCACGTTTGTAAGGAAAAACTCAAAAATCCCTGCATTATCCTTGTTATTTTAAGCGATGTTCAAATTCCCTGTACAGGGTGCGTAGCCAAATCTTTCAACAAAAATAAGTACTTTTTTAAGAATATTATATGTGAACAAAATGGAAAATAATTTTCAAGGACTTTACATGATCATGATAAAATAACTAATTTCTGACAAAGAACTCTTTTTCTGGATTATATTAGCTACCATAATAAGATTTGAGAAATTTTTCGTCCCGATTTCAGAGGTAGGAAAATGAAGTCTGAAATCTAGAATCTCTTGCAAAATGCAGCAGAATTGCACATGAGAAGGCAAGAATAATCCACACTGAATACAGCTCAGTATATGCGGACCTACAAGCATCTCATCAAATGGGTAAAATGATTGGTGCTTTCATGTGCTACAGAACGACGGTAAGCCGATGTGCTTTGTGTTTGAATGATTTGTGAAAACCGTGAATAGAACAATATGAAAACCACACTTTTGCTTAATCCGTGACGAAAATCGTCATGGTAAAGAAAAAAATCTCATTCTTGAAAAGGGAAAATTAAGCAATTTTTAAAAACACTATGAACCCTGCGTGTAGCTAAAAACAGGAAAATATCCAGTAGATTTTACAAAATAGGATAAATTTCATTTGTAGAAAAATGTACTTTTACACAGAGAGAGGGATTTTTATGGTCATCAAAGTAAAAAAACTGCAATATTTTAAAGTTACCATTAAATGATCTTGAAATGTTATGTTTATTCATAATTTTGAACAGAAATTTAATTCATCAACTAAATTTTATAAATGAGGATTACATTTATTTAAATATTCAAGCAAGCAATAATCTGCATTAAAAATTATTTTTCAATCGGGATTTTTTAAAAAAGCTTGCCCAATTTTAGGGAATTTTCTAAAAATTGCCACTCAAATCTGGATTAAAAAAAATTCCCCCTGTTTTCCCTGTACATATTACACACAATACATTAAGAGGAAACAACAATTACTATGCTCTTGTGTGAGCTACATTGGGCTAACTATATTTATTAGTTTTAATTGCTGGAAAAACAGCTGAACATACATACATATAATGCTATAGTAAATGAAATAGTTTAGGATAGCTGAAATATCATGGTTAAATATCCCATAGATTATGCTTTGAGTGGTCACCATTTTTTAAAAGACAAAAATGAGAAAAATATTCCCTGTAATTTCCCAGTTTGCAAAGAAAAATTCAAAATTCCCTGCATTTTCCCGGTTTTCCCGTGGAGTCGTAACCCTGTTAAAGAGCTTTTAAAAAAAGAAAATAGAAAACAAGCACCTTTAAGCACTTTTCAAAAATCCTAAGCACCCTGTTTCCAGGTTTTCCCCATGGAGTGGCAACTCTGAAATAGTGAAAAACAAGACTTACGATTGTTTTGAAATTTAAGCTGTTTCGCTTCTTTGACATTTGAATCTTCCCACCAGCCGTTCACACATGCTGAAACGCTAATCACAGGTAAATCCATCAGTGTTGAATAAATCTATCAAAACAATGAACTGATCTTGAAGACACTTTATTAAAAGAAAACAAAAACATAGCTGCCAACATGGATAAAAAAAAAATCCAGCAGATTTCACACATAGGGACTTTTAGGGATTTTTTATAGTCATCAAAATAGAAAAAATACAATATTTTCCAGATATGATTTCACATTAAATGATTTTGAAATGTTATGTAATATGTTTATTCACAGGGGTCTGTCTCTAGTTTTTTTTTAAAAGGAATCTATTTTGTGAAAATTTAGACATAATTTGTGAAAATTAAAATTCATGTTAACAAGTCAACACAAAAAGATGGTAAAATAAGAAAATATTTTCAAAAATTGTAATTACAAATAAAAACCATTTATGACTGATAAATTTCTATACATAATTTTCCCATATGTTCAAAATCAATTTTGCTATTGTAAAATTTTGGGGTTAATATTGTATCCAAATTTAAAAATTTATAAAAATCATCAGTCATATAAGCTGTGTGGGAAACGAATTATTCTACTAAGACTTAATAGCAAACCACGGGTGGGTTCCATTGCAAATCGAAATGCATAATTAACACTCAAGTTTATTGTTTTTACGTCGACACAACAAAATTTTAAAAGGCAGGGGGGGGGGGGAATTGTAGAACTTGCTTTTTTAAAAGTATTTTTCGGAACTACCGTTTTTCTTTAAGTTGAATTTGTGAAGGTAATGAATGCTAAACGGTAGTAAATTTGCCCTAGACAGATCCCTGATTCATAATTTTAAATAGTAATAGGCATTTTATTCATCAAAGACAGTTATCTGAACTTTATAAATGAGTCTCGCTTCATCATGTATTAGTGACACTTATTTAAATATTCAAGCAAGAAATAATCTATACAAAAATTCTATTTCATTAGGGATTTTTTAAGGAAACTTAAACAATTTTAGGAAATTTTCTGAAATGTACAAAAAACTAGGAGAATTTTTATTAAACCAGGAGAAACTGGAAAGTTTGGCAGCTATGGAAAAACATTTAAAATGAAAGAAGACGAACAAACCTCATTGATTTGGCTTTCCTCAAATTCATCTCGCAAAACAGTTGCCAACACTTCATATTTATTAGTTACTTTGTGAATCAACAAAGGCAAACAATCAATCAACATTTTTTCTGTCTCACTCTTCTTTTCAGAGCTGAATCTAAAAACAACACATTTTATATTAAGACACTTACTTTGCTTTTATACCGAGCAGAGGTCCGATTTTTGAGCAGGTTTAAATTAAAATTCACAACTAAAATGGTTATCTTAGTTTTGTGCAAGTAAATTTTTATTTGTTTATTATTAAAAAAAAAAACTGATTTAAAGCGTTTGATTCTTTAAAATTAAATTATTGAGAAGAAAATATTTTTTAAAACATCATTTATAAACATGCTCTTTGGGTTGTGATTTTTTATAGTCTGACTTCAGTGATAATGGAGGTTTAACCCATTTTTGGCCAAAGGCGTGCAAACGCACCATTTCAATAAATATTTTTTTATTAACAATGTGACAAATATTTTTCACTTATTTTATTTTTCTGCTATTCTTAAAGGTTCGGAAGACATCTATAAAATATTAGTAATTCAATTAGAGTAAACACTTTCTGTTGATAAATTTTTAAACTACTTTAGCTTATTAACTTAAAACGGTTTTTGACAAATGAAATTTTTTGAAAATGTATAATTATTCCTTTTGAGACTTATCATATGTTTTTATGATACATTAAAGTTACAAGTCAGTAAATAAAAAAACAAAAAGAACAAAACAAATTTCATAAAAAAAAACAAGCATTCTACTAAATGGTTTGTTCATTGATTTAATGAATGGTGCTTATACGTAACATTTTATTGCTTAATTATAATTTTTCACACAAGACATTTTTGTGTGTTTTAATGAATGTAATGCAAGCATATTTCAATTAAAATAACACCACATTTAATAAAATTTATATGCTTGGCCTAATATGGGTTAACACTAGAAAGACTGAAACTTAGTATATTGCCCAGAAGCAGTCAAAATGACTGGATTGCAAAAGAATAATCAATGTGTAAAGAAATTTGTTTAAAGTTAATTTTTAATATTTTTTCATATTACTCACAGTTATATAACAAGTTATTAGCAAATATTAACAATAAAAAAATTATATGTTGCACAAAAAGTCATAAAATTCTAAGAAATTGTGTCATTATACACAACATTGTTTTTCTAATTGAAATTAGAAAGCAGTCAAAATGATTTCCATGGGAAATCTTGTGTCAAACAAAGAAATAATTTAAAAGGGATGCTTGTAAATTATTATAATTTAAAATAGGCTCAAAAATAAGAAGACTAAAAGGGGAATGAAGTTTTAGTTTTTCATTAGCTGTATGTGAAATAGTGTGCAAGTAATAAATGTATTTTTGTTTCTTTAAATACAAATGCTTCTAAAATGTATTAAATATAAAGAATAAATTTTTCTCCAAGTTTCTACAGAAAAATGTTTATTTGAATAATTTTTTTCATTATCGTATTTTGATCCCAACTAGAGTACTCTTTATGCTGGCCAGGTGGTGAGCGTCCACGTTGGTTGTGGGTTCGAATTCCGCTCATGGCATGGATGTTTCACTCTGTTCTCTATTGTGTGAATGTGGCCCAACCTATAATAGGGTATCTGTGGCAGTGTGGTGTGGGTAATGTTGCTCGCCTCTGTGACTAAGGTTCACTGGTTAACATTAAATGAGCAACATTTCCAAGGTGAAGAACAAAAGTTCAGTGCCTGCCATACATAAAAAAGTGCACTCTTTGATGGATGTCGGGCTGAAAAATTGCCTCACTGTTTTTAAAAATTTAGAATGTTCAGTTTGGAAAAAAAAAGTTTTTTAATTATTCAGTGATTAGTTAGTAAAAAATAATTTCAAATATTTCAGCTACAGTATTTTTAAATTATACTTAGAGTTATTAATACGTTTTATAAGATGATATGGATAATAAATGTAAAAATAAAATAAATTAATAATAATAATAATAAAGGATTTTTGGTAACTTTGATTTGTAGTAGAGATTATGACATTCAGATATAAAAACCAAAGTAATGAACTCTATTTTGGGAATATATTCCACATTTAGGTTGCGATAGGGAAAATTGAAAATGAGCAATGTGTTTTCCACAAAAAAATGTCCAGAAAAAAGGTTTAAAGGTTAGTAAAAAATCTTGATATGCTCATCTCATAGGGATACAGAAAATTCTCAGAGCTAATATAGGATTAGAATGCAGTTTTCTCTTATATTTTTTTTCATTTGAAATTTCCTCTAAATTATGGTGTTTTTCATTATAGTCTTCAAAATATTTTTAGAAAGTAAAATTCATGTATGATAATTTTTTCTTTGACAAACAAAACAAAAAGTCATAAGATTTTTCAAAATTTTTGAATCAACTACCTGTTAAAAATAACAGAAACTAAAATGTACCGAAATAATAATTTATAAAATTAAATTTAAAGTGCCACTCACAAGGAATTCAAACTAAATAAATTGACACGTAAAGTCATTTGTGCTACATTTAGTTTTATCGAAAATATTGTTTTTCATTAAAAAAAAATAGAAAGTTGACATGACATAAGAATTCAAAAAATATTTTAATGATGACTATTCCATTTTTTCTCATACTCAATGCCTTATTTATTCAAATACTACATTTTTTATATGCATTCAAATTTCTTTCTTAAGAGAAAAAATTTGTAGAGTAAATGTTTTTTTTTTTTTTTAAATAAAAAAGTTAGTAGCTAGTAGAAAATTTTTTCATTCTATAGCATTTACAAGAGATTATCGCAATAGGATTTAAAGTAAAAGAACACTGTTTTCATTTATGGACTATCACATTTAGGCACACTGTATATTTCAGAATTCAAGCCGAGAAATTTTGGAAAACTTTTCAAAGTGGAGGGAGGGGAAAGGGTCGGCTTACGACTGGCACCACTAACTTTGAAAATTTCAAGGAGGACATCCTCAACCAAAATGCAAAGCTAAGAGTCAGTAAATATTGCAAAATGTACATACAAAACATAAATATACTTAAGATAATACTTGAAAATGGAATGCCAAAGTATGAAAATTAAAAAAGGACATAAAAAGGAATAATTTGAAAGAAATACTATTATTTTTTTTTTAATCTTCTAATTAGAAATTCGGAAGGCTTCTTTTACAATGACACTGTACTACAAAAATGTTGGTACATTTTTACATATTTAAACATAGTATGCTTTACTTTTTTTCTGCCAGCTTATATACAAATTTTGAATTTTGGGGGAATTTACAAATGAAAATAGTACTCTTTGGCTTATACATGGATGGGGTTATATTCGGAAAAATACTGTATCCAATTATTTTTATCATCCTATAGCACTAAAATATTGCCTGAATAACACAAGTTATGGTAATCATCATACTCGAACGTTTTCGGAGTTTCAGGAAACTCCATTTAAGTGCCAGAGAAACAACAGGTATACATAAAGTGTCAAAATAAAAGTTCCAAGGAATACCTGAAGCAAGACAAGTGCTGCTTTTCAACAAAAGGGAGCGTGAGGAGAGTGTTGTCCCTATGCCAACGACCCTGCATGACCATTTGCAAGAGTAACATCGAGAGAAGAGTCGGTCCCAACCATCCTTTATCAGAGGATACATCTATCATTGCCTGAAACACGAATAACATTTTATTATTGATACTTTCAGTTATTCTTCAACATATTACACATGCTATTAGGCTTAAAAGAAGGTAATTAAAAAAAACTAGATTAATATCTTAGGATTACTAATCTAGTGGTTACTGTACTGGACTAAGGGGCCAGTGGCAGAGCCTGACTAGAGCAGGGGCAATTGCCCGGGCCCCCCACATCAAAAGGGGACCAGAATCGAATAAAAAGTTTATTTTATGTTTCTTTTTTTAATGAACCTTTCTTAAAACAAAATATCAGCACACTGTAAAATCACTCAGTTTTATGCTAGCTACTTCATTAATCTACCATATAAATACAATCTATATTCCGTAAATCCATGGCTTTCTAAGGCAGAATTCAGCAAATTCTCGTAGTTAGGATGAACAAATTGGGTCAATCAAAAGCCTGAATTGTTACATATTGCAACATATTTACAAAAATACAGGCTTCTGATTGGCTTAATTGAACCATTGTAATTGCATAAATTTAGCTGAATTCTATCCTAACGTCAGCAAGGATATGAATTTTTCGCAGCTAGGTAGCAAAGTTAACAATCAGAAATCGGCATTCAACAATATGGACACAGAATTATCAGAAAATCAATAAAATGGACAGAACATTATTTCATCCGACCATTGGAGGGATAGAGACTTTATAGCTATTTCAGGTTCTAGTCAATTTTCGTGTTAACTATAATAAGGTAAGAAAATTTAAATACCTCCATAAAGTTTGGTTCTTCATTACTGAAGTAATGAAGCACAGGGGGTCCCCAAAGAAGTTTTCGCCCCCGAACCCAATTAGGTTAAGTCGGGCCCTGGCCTGTGGTTGTAGGTTGGAATCCCACTGTAGGCATGGATGTAACTTTCTCTCTCTGTGCTCTATGTCCTTTCTTCTGTGTGAATGTATCCCTCCCTATAAACGGGCTTGTGGTTGCACGATGTGGGAGACGCTACTGCACCGCTGTGGCTTAGCCACAGGTTCTCACTGGGCAACGATAAGATAGTAGCAGTTCTGAAATTTCTGGGGCCAATGAGTAATAGACCTAAATGCTTGCCATTGAAAAAAAATATCTCAGGAAAAATATTGGATTCTTTTAGGTATTATATCAACCTCAAATTAATTTCTATTCCCAGACTTTTCCCTGTTCTGTGACCACTCAGATGATGATGAAAAAAAAAAAAAAAAAAAAAAAAAAAAAAAAAAAAAAAAAAAAAAAAAAAAATTTTTTTTTTTTTTTTTTTTTTTTTTTTTTTTTTTTTTTTTTTTTTTTCAATCGATGCTACTGACGTTTGAACTTGAGCCAAGAAATTCCAAAGTTGCGAGCTCCAAGAAATTCTAAAGTTGCGAGCTCCAAGAAATT